TTTTGTTTTTGGTGTATTTTGTTTTGTTTTTAGTGCATTTTGTTTTGTTTTTCGTGTATTTTGTTTGGAAGTCGGTTTTGTTTTTTTATAGTGTATTTTGTTTGGAAGTCGGTTTTGTTTTTTTGTGTAACGCTGTATATATTTTTGGATGACAATAAAAAGGTTTTTATTTTTTTTTATTTAATCAGTATATGTGTTCTTTTCAGAAGACGATGGCAGATTCTGTTGATAGAAACGTTGTTTGCAGGCGTATTTTTCGTAACATCAGTGTTTATAGCGAAGCCGGTGTTTCTAACACCGATCACAGATGCCCCGGGAGCGGCACTGACCGGCAACGCTATTTTATCTGCGCTCCAGAAACGAACTATTGTAGGATACGCACCCAATACAAACCCCTATGATAAAGTAATGAAAAGAGCTGCTGATCTATTGAGAATTAGTAAGTGTAATTAAGGTTACAAACATGCTTTTAATTTAAGTAAAACACGCAACGATATGTGGTTCTGAATTAGTTAGACTGGTGAATTCCTGTAGCTCACAGATGATAGGCGTAGTTAGAAATATTCGGCATTTTAAATGAGTGAGATGTCCAACGGTATATTTAAGTCCTCGCCCTTTTCTTGTGCACCTTTTCAAGAAAATATAATATGCATTAATGCAACTGAGATTATTTAATAACAGAGCTCGACCGCGCGGTATTTTAAAAAGAAGTATCTTCTTCCGCATTCAGCTACCTTCTCGTATAAGTCCCTTCAAAATCAGGCCAGCAGTTTCTGGTATTAACCAAAAAAAGTGGGACCTACGAAATGTGGTTTTCATGGACACTCTACTATAATTAATATTAATGTAATTTTCCAGAAATACTGGAGGGGAGGTCTGAAAGTGATCTCAACAATTTATTGTATAACAAATCGCAAGGATCGCCGCTAAATAATTCTGTAATATGGGTGATATGGAAGACGAGTGTTAGTATAACTATTGTTTTTTAAATACATAACAAGTTATAATAAAGTAATTAGTTATATCTGTTATTCATAATGTGTTAATAGTCTTATTAATATTACAAATGTGAAAGTTTAGATGGATGGATGTTTGTTAGAGTTTGTAGCCTAACAGGATGAACGGATGACGATGAAATTTATCATAGATGTAGAGGATAGTCTGGAAGAACACGTAGGCTACTCTATTTTTTTTTAATTCCACGCGGACAGAGTCGCAGGCAAAACCAAGTAAGTCAATAATAAAAACTAAAACAACATTAAGAGTGATACACTAGTATAATAGTAGTGAGTACAATAAAATGTCGATTGATTTTAAGAGCGTGACCTGAAACTAAACTATCGCACAACTGCTTAGTTTAGCTTTGATTCCTATGACTTTATATGGAGGTGCGCTACGAGATTTTTAGTTGTCCAACTAAACAGTTGAATGTGCTGCGAAACAACCGACAATCGCACAACAGTTGTTCGAAAGTGGAAAGGAAACGCTCTAAATCTCTGATTCATATAAATTGCCTCATGAAAGCAATACTTAGCAGACTCCATTTTCATATATTTCCAACAAGATATTCTCATTAAAACACTGAATTCGATTACATTTTGTTCAAAGGATTATGATATTTGGAAGTTCAGTATAAAGAGCTCCGAACTGGCGCGTCTGGAGATCCAAGAAACCAAGCTGTCGCCGGAACAGCATCTCAGCACCGGCTTCCTCAGCGTCCAGCTCGCTGTCAGCCAGGCCATAGTCGAACACGTCTCTAAGACAACGCCCAAATTTGAAGTGAGTTACGACCCTTTTCGGTAGATCCACGTTATAACTAGGTAGAGCTTTGTTAAAAATGACAAAATCGAGTACTCTCAATATATGGTTATATTTCTTACTAGATTGTTTTCTATAACAAAAAAATATCGTAGTTAATTTTAAACGTGATAAATTATGTATAAATGTGAATTGTTATAGTACTGTGGTATTGTGATTTTGAAATTTTATCTGTAAAAAATCACAAAAAGTTTTTCTGCCGAAACCCGGGATTGAACCGGGGACCTTTAGATCTTCAGTCTAACGCTCTCCCAACTGAGCTATTTCGGCTGTAGATACGTATAACCAAAATTATGGTTGCATATAGTTATTTTTTTTTTAAATTTTAGGGTTTTTTAAATCATTGACTATTATAATTTAAAATAACCAAATGTTACCAATACATGATCTTCTTTAACGATTAGTATTAATAATTTTAATTAAATTCAAGTATAATGAAATACTAAATTTATTGGGAAGAATTTATAAATGGGCGTATTTGAAGTGTTAATAAACTAAGTTTTTTTGTTTGAAATGTATCAAACCTTCAATTCGCATAGTGACCACAAATGACCTTGCGTGTACGGCACCGAGCGTTCTAGCTTGTCAACAAGAAATTGCATCATCAATACCCGGATATATCAAGATGATATTACAAAAAATTACATTGAGTTATTAATAACTAAATGTATAAATATTTATTATTTTGCACGAGCTCTGATATAAAATAAATCAATAATACATCTTTAGTTACAGCGCCATCTATCAACAATGATTGAAATTTTTTCAATCGAAATTTATCCAGGAAGGATTGTGGCCACAGATAATACAATACTAAATTTTTGATGTCCCGCTTTACATTCTTTTCTTCCATTAAAACTATTCTTTCTTTGACTCTTTTATTTTAATCACTTACGTTATATGTTTTTTTATAGCTGAGCCTGGTGGCGATGCCGGTATCGCCGCTGATGCTGCAGCCGGCAGTAAAACGCGCTCTGGCGGGTATCCTGCTCTGCTTCACAGTCGCTCTACTGCCGCCTGTGCTCGAGATCGAAGCACTTGTCGTTACTGAGTCCGCCTCTCAGCTAAAGGTGAGTTGTTTAAATATGAAACATAAAGATTTAAATAGCTTTTTAAGAATACATTGAGTTATTTAACATTTTGACTATCATTAGTAGGTTTACCTTTTTTATTTCTTTATTCTTGTAAAAGCGCCATCTATGTTAAAAGATCGGAAATTGTTAGAAATTTAATAATTTTTTCTTTCTTCATTGGTAAATTATTCTATACATCTTAGTACAGTACAGACTTTTGCATTTATATTTAACTAGCATTCGCCCGCGACACCATCCGCGTGGATTTAACAAAAGATAACCAAAGGTGTATATAGCTTTCAGACTATTCTTTACATTTACCTTAAATTTCATTGGGATTCTTTCAGCAGTTTAGGCTACAAACTCTAACATCCATACATACAATACATACTTTTGCATTTATAATAAGATTGATTGGAATAAGATTTATAAAGTTTTTAATGTTTCTAGAGGGCGCTACGTATACGTGATGTGTCGTTCTCCTCCATCTATGTGGGATGGCTGATGTACGCGTATCTGACGGCGGTGCCCATCTGCCTGCTGGCTAGCATTACCCTCATCCTCATCTTCCGTTGGATACATCTCCTCTTTGCCTTCATCATAGTGCTCGCCTACAAGACCGTGCTGATCATGCTAGCTCTTATAATGGCCATGTTTCATAATAGAGGTATGATTTTGGGCTATTACAACTAAAAGGAAGACACTTTGTTTTAGTATCCTGTATATGACAAAATATGTAAACTTTAAAAAGAAAATATGTAATTTAAATTTAAATTTCATGCTCAACAATTAATTGTTTTGAAATGTGACCTAATAATCTAATGTAAAAAAAAATAATATTTACAGGCAAAAGAATCGAGCAGGTTAAAACCTAAGCAAAACAACACAAATAATGTAACTGAAAATTCGAAAAGCCATATCAGAATATTTTTCTTAAAGAGCGACATCTACTGCCCAAATGATATATGCATCATTTATTTTTTTACAGCGTGGATAGCTTGTACATGGACATTGCTGTTTACACTGATGCAGACGTTCATATCGGAACTGCTCGTGCATCACAAATTCGATATAGAGAACAAAGCGCTGACATTCGTGCTGCAAGTCATCCTGCCCCCACTGGGACTTGTGCACGCATTTAACGAATTTGCTCTGCTTCAAACTGGCCGTAAGTTTTTGAACTGCTTTTGATTAGTTGTTTATTGTTTTGAAATTATAGATGGCGCTGTTATTAATTTGCATTTTTATTTTTAAGAAATTTCCTAAATGAAATATTTTTATTTATAGGAGAATTCGATAACGTAGTTTCACTGGTTTATCCTATTTTATCTTGGTTATTGATGATTGCATTTTATTTTTTCTTATTGATGATGTTGCAAAGAACTATTAGCTTCGAAAAAGCAATAGGTGGTCAAGTACCTTGGAAAACTGTTATATTTAAGAAAAGTGCGGTAAGATGTATTTTAATTATTGAAATAATAGCTTTCGCCCGCGTCTCGGTCCGCGTGGAATAAAATAAATTGAAAGTGAGCAGCCTGTGTGTTCTTCCAGACTAGCCTCTACACCTATATCAAATTTCATCAAAATCAGTTCAGCTGTTTAGGTAATAAACTCGTAGGTATAACTCGTGGGTAGTAAACTCTAACAAACATCCATTCATCCATCCATCCATCTAAACTTTCACATTTATAATATTAGTATGATGAACATCTGTAAACGCACGTATTTTACACATGAAAATATGATAATTTGCATGTTTTTCAGGACATGAACAAATTGCATCGTATCGAATCATTGACTGGAACTGAAAGAGACAACCTTCAAGCTGTCGACGAACTTGTCGCTAAAGCCATCAGTTTCAGAAATGTATCTAAGGTACAAATATTCTTTAATACTGTTACAATACAATAGCAACTGACCTAAAGCAAAAATTCAATTAAAATCTATACTAATATAATAAAGCGTAAATACACACTTTGTTGTCTAAGATGTCACCAATTATAGCATATTTTCGAATAACTCTTTTTTTTAATAAAAAGCCCTACTCTTATGTCACGCTTTAGGCTATATATTTTTACGTTTAAACTTAGGGGTAAATATTTTGGATAAAGACCCTAATGTGGGAAAGAGACCATAAGTTGTTGCCAACATCAAGGAAGCAAGGTTTCCATGGTTTGATATCATGTCATGTTATTTTGACATTTGCAATTGATAATTTGACAAATGTGAACAGTAAAATGATTTTTTTATTAATATTCGAATAGAGTCGCATGGGAATAACTAGTTATAATTAAATCCTGTACAATCTCTAATATTCATAAGGGTCATTCATCAACTCAAGAGACTAAAAAAATGTAAAATAGATACAAAATCTTTACGATTATTGGTCGTACAATTTTTATGGTAGTTTCCTTTTCTTAGACTACCCTAGATCATCGGCGACGACTTGTACAGTTTTATTTCTAGACTAGTTATGATACGCTTCTTTGTCCGCTTGATATTAGGAGAATAACAAAAAATATAGCCTGTGTTACTTAATGAAAACCTAGCTTTTTTATGGTGAAAGAATTGAAATCGGCCCAGTAGTTTATAAGTTCTTTAAATATATACAAAAATACAAATCTCTCCTCTTTATAATATTAGTATTTACAAAGATAGTTGAGGACATCATCATATTTGTTTCTGTACAGTACTAACATATATTATTGCAGAGCATGATGGGATCCGTAGTTCTAAACAATGTGACATTTGACGTGTACCGCGGCGAGTTCACTATGATCATTGCTGATCGCAATCAATACAAGACAATAGCCACTCTCGCTGATCTTTTTACAGGTAAATAAATGTCAGAATTTTCCTAAAACATGCACACAATATACGGAATACATTTTTTTATATTATAAGGTGGTAAACGACCGAGCGGCCACCTGAATTCGCCGAGAAAGTGAAGCGATCGCTGCCCATGTACATCCGCAATTGCAAATACGTTGCCTACCCTTATCAACGGAGAAGGAGACGCACATAAAGAGTATATTTACCCTTCCTAGAAGTCTCTACCATAAATACCTTTCCCTTCCCATTTTTTTCGTATAAGAAAATGATGGAAAAGGGACTATAATTAGGCCTCCGGCACCACACGAAACACGAAATTGCTTCCACTTCTGTCTTCTGTGTGGGCGTGGTACTACTGGGGGCGAGCCGGCTCATTCGTGCGAAGATGTTAAAGCGGGTTCTACCACTGTTGAAATTATGTTGTATTGGGTATAATCTATTCCTGCATCACGGTGCCAAGCGAAAGTGATCCCGTGGTCACTAATAATGGCCAGGAAGAATCCCACATAACTCTCGTGCCTGCCCTGAGGCACGGAGTATGCATAAAACATTCCCTTCTGGATAAAAGGGTGTAATCTATTCGTTAGTATTGTTAAGAAGAAAATTAATACCGCGCTGTAGAAGTGGCGCAACACTAGTTTATTGGCATAAACGTCACATCTCTAACTGACAGCTGTCATTAGAAGGATTGGAATATTCGCCCGCATTCACGACGAGATCTCTAGTGGAGTATTTAAATTAATATCACTAGTAACAATTACATTAATTGTTTAAAAGAGCTAAATTTTTATTATACAAAACTAATTTGTAGGACTTGATTCCGGTGTACTTGTCTGCAGGTCTAACATTCGCGGATAAGGGTACGATCAACGTGCTGGGGCAAGAGCTGCGTCCAGGCAGTAACTTTATGAACGTGCCCTACATGACGGGCTTCTGTCATCGCAATCACTTCCTCATACACGATCTCACTGTTGAGGAACATCTCATCTTATTTCTAGAGGTTTCTTACATAATATTGATATATTAATTACGACAATTTACTTTAATACTGTAGATAAAGTTGACAACTTTTATCTTTACATATTCGAGACGTTTTCGTCTACGGCGCTTATCCAGAAAATTGATTGTATCGAGTTTTGCCATAGAGATATTGATTACAAAGCTCTTTGTTCTTCTTTAGATTTGTCTCTGGCACGAAACAAATGAAAACATAATTGAATATAGTCAAGTACGCATCCGACAGCTGCTAAAGGAAGGTGATTTGGAAGATGTTAAGGACAAACAGATTAAATATTTGGATGTTTACTACCAAGCGCAGTTGTGTTGGGCGATAGCATTGCTTTTGGAGCCGAGGGTGGGTTTAGTATATTCTAGAATTCCACGTAACAAGTCAATTGCAGTGTTTTAATAAATTATGTCTGTTGCTATATGTATTTCGTACTGAAATAAATTGAATGTTTTGTGCGTTACAGATTATTATAATCGACAATTTTTCAATGAAGCCTGCCTATGACAAAATAATCAAAGATAAAATAATGGTAAGTTGTCAATTAATGCAGTTATTAAATAACTAGCTGTCGCCCGCAACTCCGTTTGCGCGGAATTAAAAAACACAAAATTGAATAGCCTATGTCTTCTTCCAGACTATTCTTTACATCTATACCAAATTTTATCGGAATCCGTTCAGCCGTTTAGGCTACAAACTTGTAACAAACATTCATCCATTCATCTAAACTTTCACATTTATGATATTAGTATGATTAGTAAAATATTTAGTGAATTGTTGTTATTCAGCGTTACAAGAAATACATCACAATCTTGAAGTTTTCGTTCGCAAGTATTAAAATGGAGTTCGCGGATAGAGTGTTCTTGTTTCACGACAAAACTCTCATTTTCGGCGGCACGCCTGCTTACATGTTCTTTAAATACGGTACTATTTCTATTACTCTTTCTTTCGCTATAATACGTAATGTCCAAAAAATCATTCCATAAATAGCAATGATAAACGAATCCTTGTTAATATACTCCATGTTTGGAAGCATTTCTGTCATTTGTTCTTGATTCCTAACCATCTGTTTGTAAACATAATGTTCATGGGCATCACCACTCGATGACTTAGATTAAACCTGGGGATGGTAATCTACCCCACACAATGCCAGGAGGGAACGGATGGGTTTAGTGAGGTATGCCCCCCACCATGGAGGGAGAGTCCCACATAACTCTCATGTCTGCCCAGAGGCACGGAGTATGCGTAACGCATTCCCCTTCGGCAAAAAAAAAATGGGGATGGTAATCTATCTTTAATACGTTTATGCATTGCCTTGACCACCATTTTCATTTATGTTTTGAACTGGACATTGTTCTATACCTGGACAGGTCGTGAATACCGTTTACGACTGGCGTTTGATGCGGGCTTGTTGGAGAATGACGCAATGGCCGAGATACTGCGCAGGGCCCAAGGCGCGGGCGCGAGAGTGCGCGCCAACTTGGGCACCATGCTCATACTGATGGTACCAGCTTTCCCCACCGCTACTGTCGCTGCCTTCATCAAAGAGCTGACAATAAACACCAAGGAGTATGGTATCACCTCCATACACATAAGCGTACCCGACTCACAAGAAGTTTGTCAAAGGTAAGTTCCCGTACAATATGTAAGCTTTTATAACCATACTAACTTTTGCGCGCGACTTAGTCTGCATGATATAAATAAACAGTCCCGCTGTCATACATCTATATCCGTTTTAGACAAACGTACTTACAATCATCCATCCAAACATTCACTACATTTATTAACTAGTATAAATTACCTTTAGTAGAGAACTGTCAGCGATATAAGATTCCAGTTTAAATGGAAGGATGTTTGTTATAGCTTCAGAACCACTTAATGTATATTGACGACATTTAAAAACGTTGTTTTAGGGCCATCAATGAATCAAAATCACGTTTACCATTGTACGAAACAATCCCACCGCTGAATTTATCGAGTAGCGCCTTGGTACAAATATCTGGTACACTTTTAATTATTATTATAATGTATCTGTATTTTCCCTATATAAGAGGTGCAAAAATCAGTAAATTTAAACCATTTAATTTTCCAGAGCATCCGTTGTGGAAGCGAAAGACATCGGGTTGCTGTGGTGAATCACAAATAAAAGCGTTTGGAAGGAAATATTACGCATTTTATGCTTATTACAAAATCTACTTTATCGTAATGGTAATAAATTGACTGGATATCCTTTAAAAATGACAAATCTCGACACAAAGGCAGTAGTAACTAGTTACCACTAGTTACTACTAGTTAGAGGAATCGGTACTATGCCGGAGTAGCGGCGCAACACTAGATCATTGGCATATACGTCCCATCACTATGACATCTGTCAATGTCAGTCTGAAGTATTTAGGACAAGCGAGCAATTTTGGCGGGCATCGGTATATTGGGTATCGAAGTAGCTTTACGTTGTTACGATTATATTTTAGTCTAAAACTAGTTTATATTATGCTCTAGTCTTCGATCTACGAGTATGTGAATGGACCCTAACTCTGCCACTCATATCTTAAGTATAGCATAGTAATAGACTTATTTAGTTTAGTAAAGTTTTACCCAGCTGTGTTGCCAGTCGCGCTAGTGTAGAAGTGGCCTAAAGTCTAAATACTCAAGCTACTTTTAAGTTATATGAAATGAATCCTCCGATTTATAACGACAGATGACGTCATCCGCCCTGGCCGGCATTGCTATCGGCCTGATACAATCGGATTTACTCGTTCATTTAGAGATCGACGCAAGCAAATCTTTACACGGCGAAGTAAGTACTTTTGTTATACATAACGATAATACGTATGTCTATGTTAAGCGACATGCAAAAGTCAACTATAATGTGTCGAAATACTTTTACTTAATACTCAATTATAATATCGCTACTTGACTTGTAAAAAAATGTTTGTTTTTATAGCTTTTGAACGTTGAATCGAGAAAACAGAACACAACATTGGTACTTCTTCTAGATAATTCAACTGACGCTACTTCTGTCGCAAACAAGTAGGTACAATTTAATTATAACATTAATATTTTATTTGACAAAAAGATTAATTTGACAAAAAATTCATTGCTGTTTACAAACTCTGATTGGATTGGCCACACAGAACGGAGCGAAAAGCAGATTTTTATCGAAAATAAAATTGAGCCTTATGCAATTGGTGCAAGGTTTAATTTTACTTTACCACGTTTTTTACGCTCGTCCTTGATAAAAGGCATGCAACAATGAACCTTACTACAATAAAATAAAGCTCAATTTTGTTTGCGTTGAAAATCTGCTCTACTCTACAAGCCGGTATATGTGACCTTATCCCGTTGTACACCCTCATTTTAGTACGGTTTTTTTCAGCTACATCCTTTCAGACACATATTCCACAGACGCTGAAATTGATTTCGTTGAATATACAGCTTTGGCAGAAAAAGAGGTAGTACTCACAAAGTCATATATATACTAATAATCTATATATATACTAATATTATAAAGAGAAAACATTTGTATTTATGGATTTTTGTATTTATTGAAATAACTCCAAAACTACTGGGCAAATTTCAAAAATTTTTTAACCGTTAGAAAACACCGTTATCGAGTAATAGGCAATTTTGAAATCTCACGTGATAGAAGTCGCAAGCAATAGCTTAAACAAATAGTATAGTTAAGTAAAATGAATTATGAAGTAGATAAAAAACTAAAAAATGTATATATTGTCTTTTCTTAGAGCCTGACGGAGTACCTCGTTACCCGCGCGATCGACTCACCTCAACACTACGTCACGCTGTATGCCTACGGCATCGGGATATACGATAAAAATAACACCATGAAGGTATGAATGTATTTATTTCGTCTTCCTTTTTAGCATAAAGAATGAAAGAAGATCCGAGTATCAGATAGTTACCAATTAAATGCAAAATTGTCAATCAGTGTTTAAAACCTGGTGCTTGATTTGGTACAGCGAGAATATTTGTACTTACTCTTTCTTTATCTAAGTTAAAACACTCCAATATAGTATTTGTTTCTCAGGGTGACATAAGAAGGGACTCTTCTATATTATTTTTACTATTTAATTCATAGATACGCGTTCTGCATAGTCCTCCTCACCAAGACTCTTGGACGGCGCCGAGGTCCCTAGCCCGCACTTTCATGGCACTCTTACGTCACTACACCGGCAAAAAAGACGCAACCATACAAGTCACCGATGACCCGTTAGGCTTGGATCTCGCAAGGGTAGGATTGGGAAATTGGAAAAATATTATACATGCTTTTCTTCCTTACATATTATACATTATTTTCTTTATTTTTCCCTTAATCTATGTTTAATTTACAACTCGTTACAGTTTATGGTTAAGCTATTACTTGACAAGTTGCAGCTGACGATATGAGAAATCTCAAAAATTAAATGATCCCTAGGATATGTTGTCATTTTTGTTACTGATTTTTTTTTTATCTAAAATAATTGATCGTTTAAACAGTGGTTGACATATGCTGGGCATGGTCCACTTCTGGAGCAGTTCTTGCTCGCTCTTACCATCTTACACATCACTTACATACCTTCGAAGGAGCATGGATTGATTCGACATATGCAGGTAATGATAAAAGATTACGTAATAATGGACTTTATTATAAAATTGATATACGAGTAGAGAAAGTTTGAGAGTACCCCTAATGGTAGAGAAGGTAAGGAGTAAAAGGTTAGCATAGTATGGGCATGTTATGATGGGGGATGAAGTGCATGTAACAAGGGGAACGTTAGTTCTGAGTGTGGTACACTGGTAGAGGTAAACCTAGAAAGAGATGGATGGATTGCATGAAAGGTGACATGATCAAAAAAGGGAGTGATGACTGAGATGACGTCTGATAGAGTTATGTGGAGGACAAAAAACTTTTCGTGCCGACCCTACGGGAGTAGGAAGATTATGATATAGAGTGTAATCTCTTGGAATCATAACTAATATTTAAGACAGTAAAACATGTATACAGAGACCGCCAATTTGACGACTTATACTAAGTACCAAGCAACCGTAGGTATTATAAAGTTACAGTTAAATCTTTGTCTAAATGACAATGGAATTCGGCAACAGATAAGCTTAATTGGTTAATTTAAAGTGCTCATTACACTACCGTTTTATTCGCCAGTGCCACGCTATGAACTTCTCACCGGTACGATACTGGTTCACGATGTTTGTATGCGACTTGGTCTTGTACACCATCCTCGTCTGCTTTCTAACGGCACTGGCTATCGCAGTAGTTTACTTCGTTACGCCGCCCACATACTTTCATTTCGATGATTTAGGTAAGTAATGTATACGTACAATTTAGCGTTTAGATAATCTCGATCGCTGGCATTCCACAACCGTGCTGTTTTCGCGGAACTTTCTGCCCCGCACATGCGTTATGGAACAGTCTGTCCTCGGCGGTATTCTCAAACCAATACGACTTAGGTTCCTTCAAGAAGCCAGCCTATCATTTCCTCAAAGGCCGGCAACGCACCTGTAGTTTCTCTGGTGTTGTGGATGCCCATGGGCGTCATTGACCACCTTGGTGTTTACGCCGCTCGTTTGCCCCCTTTTATTATAAAAAAAAATCTAAAAGAAAATTTTATAAGCACTCCTTAAGCTAATGTAATTTTAATCTTAACTTCTAAACCATAACGTTTATAATTATATTTGCACCTCAAGGATTTGGACAATGTTTTCAATGGTAATCAATCTTCAACATTTAAAGAGTTAGTAAGAAATAGTGCTCCTTGTTCTTTGCTTTGACGCTCTGTTTCATTTCAAAGATATAAAAAATAGGTTATTAATATTATAATTTCAGCCATACTCCCACTATTAATAATAGTGTATGGAATGGGAAGCATACCGCAAGCCTACCTTTTCAGCTTGGGCCCCCAAGCCGCACTCAACTCTATGGTTTTTATAATTGTCAACGTTATGTTAGGTTAGTCAATTTATACGTGTAATTAATGTTATGAAATAAAATGGATACTACATAAATACTGCCACGCAAAAATAGTTTAAAAAGATTTGACATTATTTTCTTCATTGGTATTGGGACATAATGAAGTTAAACGTAGATATTAAAAATGATTTTAATACGCCTGATAATATATTACATAAGAACGATGTAGCCAATTCTAAAATATGGCCACAATATCTATACCAATATTATAAAAAGAGAAAAAATCTGTATTTTTGTATGCATTGGGATAACTCAAAAACTACTGGGCCGATTTCAAAAATTCTTTCACCGTTCAAAAGCAATGTTATCAGTGAGTAACATTGTCTATATTCGAAGTCTCTATATACGAAGTCGAGAGCAACAGCTAGTATTGTATAATTTAGACTTAAAAGCCATTGTATGTGCTAACAGGAGAAACCGCCGTCATAACTAATATTCAATATGGCGACGCGTGGAGTTACATTTTACAATTCTCAAGCTTTTCGCCTCAATTCAATTTGGCGCATGCATATGCTAAGATAAAAGAAAATTTCCTTTACAATATGGAGTGCGGGATATTTAAATCGAAAAACCTTTGCACGAAAGGAACTTTGCACAAGTGTTGCGGTAAATATCAAATTTTATATTTTCATGAATAAACATCATAATGTTTTATTATCTTTTGTTTTTCGAAAAATGAACAGCGA